TTAACGATAGTTTTTCACGCTGGAAAGCGTTTTTTGCTTGTCCTATACTTTTTGCACTGTTGACTGTTGTGACAGAGCAACTAGAATTGATTGAGTTTTTTTATACTTTGCCACGTTTTCCTGATTTTAAACAGTTGTTAATATAACTTCAGTATAGTTTGTTCTAAAATGTTTGTTTTGGTGAAAATTAATAGCGGTATTGAAGTACTGTTTAATAAACGAGCAGGAGTGTTTTAATAGGTTTAAAGACACGAGTGCGCAGCGCGATGTTAAAATCTCCAGTCAAATAAGTTATTTTTTCGTTTTATCAACTTTAGTTAAAATTCATTAAACTTGTTTTCAAAAATTTCAAAATTGCCACTTGGTAGTATATAGATAGTATCGACAATAATATTTTTACTTGTTGCTGAGATTCTGATTTCTATGAAAAGTGAGTCAATAATTCCTTCTTCGTGCATATTAAGATCAGTTCGTATTTTATAGTTTAAATTATTCGAAACATAAAGTCCTACTCCACCACCTTTTCTCTTTGCTCTGTTGGAACTAACAAAATTGTAATTATTAAGGTTGAAGTTGATACTGGTGTGATCATTAAAGCATTGTTTCCGTTAATTAATTAATTAAGCTTATTATAGAGAAAGGGTGTTTTAAAGTACTCAATAGATTCTTAAAAGAATCGAACTTGTTTGCTATACTTCGTATGTTAAGATTCAGTATAGATAGATATTTATTATTATTAGTATGACTTGAGGGCGAGCTAAAATCGTTTGGTAGGTAATAATCGCTCTAGCATATAGCTCTAGGCCTATTTGGGGGCCAAAGTCGTCGTTATTATATGCAACATTGTTCGACATTAGGCGGCATTGGCAATTTTCAAAGAAAACTAGTGTGCGTCGCTGGGCGAAACTGGGCGATATTGAGCGACATTGGGCGACATTGGACAAAACTGAACAGCAATATCCAGATAATGTCAAATAATTATTATAAATTATGCATCTACATAAAAAATGCAACAGTAAATATCACAATATAATTTAGTTATCAAAAATTGGTTCCTGTGGCAAATAACACAATTAGTTTATTACAAATAGTTTGCAAAAATATGAACAAGGAACATTTCTCTACCTGCTCGCCTGACAAAAATTGGTTCCTGTGGCAAATAACACAATTAGTTTATTACAAATAGTTTGCAAAAATATGAACAAGGAACATTTCTCTATCTGCTCGCCTGACAATTTACTCAAAATTTATAGCGTAGTACACATACATGCCCAGTGCATGGTACATTTACAATATCATGGAACTCTGACTTCTTATTAAATTGAGTCAATTGACTGGTGTAAACACCTCATAGAGTTTTAAAACCTGTTTATGGACTGCATGTGATATGCAGTGATGGAAGTGGGCAAGGTGCTAATAAATTTGCTCTCTTAAGGCCCTGTCACACTATTGCGTATGAGAGAAACGTGTGAGAAGCGTATGAAAATTAATGAAATAATTTTCATTCGCACAAAAATCCTTTGAAATGCCAGCGTATGAGTACCGTGCATCTGACGTACCTCTAGCGTATTCAGCGTGTGCCTATAGAGTATGCTTATCGTATAAAGCATACGTCCGATACGCACAAAATTTTTGAGCATGCTTAATTAAAAAAAAAAAAATTCTGCCTCACCGTATGCCAGCGTATGCCACCGTACGCGACCGTGCTTGAAACGTATACAACCTATGCCTAACATACCCCTAGCGTATGTCAGCGTATACCGGCGTATGAGTGATATTTTTCATACGCAGGCTTACGCTTGTACGATACGCAATAGTGTGACAGGGCCTTTAAATGTAAGCCAATAAGCTTGTGATTTAACCAATTATATAAACTTTTAACGTTAGTTGAGAGGCTCTCAACAGTTGCAAACTTTTGATTAGTATAGTTTTCTTGTAGTTAAAGTATAAATTATAAAGTTAATATGTTCAAGTGTACTGTGTACATCGTGGTGTTTGGTATTGTGTTTTTTATTAGTAAGGAAATAAATCACAAAATAACGATAAAAGTACCTTGATTGATGTATTTCCAGCAAGAATCAAATATAAATTAATAAATAGAACCAAGAATTGAATTCACAAAAGTTTATATTCGTTAATATTAAAAAATGCTTAAAAGAAATGGCGGCTGGGATTTGAGCCCGCAATACCACGGCACGTCTAATTTAGTTGTTTAGCTTCTAACTTGTGCTACTTCGTGTAAGGAAATATAGTAATTGATTATGGCGGGCCTTGGCGACATTTTATAATAACCTGTACCGTAGATCTTTCTGTAGTGCGTTCATTGCTCTGTATCTTTTGCGACGATACCTAGTCGTATTTTGAACATACTATGGATGACTTTCTTTATTTAGTATATACCGTTTCAGCCTTTAGGATACCTTGTGTACTTCACTAGGCTAGTGAGAGGTATTCTGTACTTTAGCACTCACCAGTTATCATGAATGTATCTTTGGTAATAAGATCTAAGTTTGATTTCATATACAACATTTAATGGCGTGCGATTGACTAATTTGACTGAGTTTCACAAAGAAACACATTGGAGGAGATAGGGGCCCTGTTAGGGGGTGGTGATTTCGGCTGTCGCAGTCAATGTCGCTTTTTGGAACGTGTCAAATGTCGCAGTCGGAATTTCGCAAGAATAGTCGCAATCACGTGGACAGGTTTCTTGTATATCGGTCTCATCGCATAACTATTTTGTAGTAACTTGTTAATATTAGCAAGTTACGACAAAATGCATTTAAAAAATCCTGTGAAAAGAATGTTCAACATGTTTATCGACTGTTTATGCTAGCCGCATTACAGAAACTTGAGTAGACTGAATGTCTGAGCCTTCTCTGTGTCAAAGTCGTTGTCACTTCTTAAAATATAGCGCTGTTTGCCCTTCTTTGCCGTCGTTCGTCCGGATTTCAAAACTGCGCTGTTACCTAAAAAGGGCCGTGTCGGCTGTCGCAACTTACCCTTAACAGGGCCCCAAGATAGCCAGAAGGCTGCTTTAACAACATAACTTAGGTAATTCTCATTGGAATAATGCGTTGTAATTCCATATACATATAAACCCCAAATAACCAAGCCTCATTAGTACTGGCGAGAGATGGTGCCCTAACAGCACATGCCCTTGGTGTTTGTGTACATGTATTTATAAAAAACAACATGCAGGAAACTAACAAATAAATAAGGAATAGACTAGAATGGACGACAAACTCAAAGTGCAAAATTGGGCATGCTTGTGCGAGATTATACGACATTAGGCGAAATTAGGCGACATTAAGCGAATGTAGACTGTTATAGGCAAAGTTCAAAAATTGGGTGCGCATAGGCGAAATTGGGCGAAATTGGGCGAAATTAGGCGACATTAGGCGACATTAGGCGACGTAAGTCTTAGCTCTCATAATTTCGACAGTTGAAATTCTATAGTTGGTATCAAAAGGGTTAAATTTGAGTTGTGTTAGTCTATCCATATGCTCATCGTCAGAAATTCTATTGAAATTGAATATAACAGTCAATTGAGTATAAAAGGGAAGCGCGCAACTTAAACACATGTTGCAGATATCAACTTCAGTTTGTTGACATGCAAGAGGTGAGTTTACGCATGAAGCGCGTGCGTGAAACCAACCCCCGCATGTAAGACAATTTATGCTTAAATTATAGTCATACATATTGTCAAATCAAGGTGTTCCATTGCCAAGGCACTTGGCCAGCTCCATTAAAATGTTCACAAAGGATTTCTCGCATTTCCTCGGCCTTAACAGCTGGTCGGCCTTTTCTGGAATTTGGTAACGCTGCTACAATCCTGGCAAAAATTATGTAGACACCTAACTGTTTTATCGCCAATAATGGCAATATTAACATTGAGACATTATTTCATGAAATTTGCCGCCCCCCCCCCTGGCCCCTGTTCAATGTTGTTTGTCGCATTTAAATTTTAAAAGTATGTTTAGATGATTTGCCAACATTGAATTGGGGGTAGGAGGGGGAGAATGTTTTGAGTGAGATAAATCCTGTAGAAATACATATAGTTTTGTTTGACGCACGCGTTTGACGCACGCGTTTGACGCACGCGCTGTCCACGATAATTTTTGCCAGGATTGTAGGTTGCTTGCCACGTCGTCAATTCTCCAACTGCCATCTCTCGTTCTACCAATTTGATCTTCACTATCGACTGATCCCTTAGGTATGTACCTGTTTGGCACTTTGGCTCTCAGGAAATTATGAAGTGCCAAGGTTGCAAGTATCACCTTAACAGCATTATCAGGCTTAATGGAAAGAACAGTAGAATACACTCTAAACCTGTTCGAAAAAATTCCAAAGACATTCTCACTAACCCGTCTCCCCCGAGAAAGCCTGTAGTTATAAATACGTCTTTCCTCAACCTCGTTGGGCAAAAGGCTTCATGACACTTGTCTCAAGAGGAAAAGCGTCATCACCGGCAAAGAAGTATGGGATTGGAACATTTGAGTCAGGATGAAACAAAGAAGGTGAAGAGGGAAGAGGCTTAGGTTTGGGTAGATTAAGTTTGCCGTTGACCAGCTTAGAGCAGAACAGGGTATTCCTCATTACCCCACTATCACTAATTCTACCCTGACATCCAATATATACTCATATTATATGCATCATGTCGATCATATTTACGTATCTTTGCGTTCAGTTGGTGCTGGGCCGTTCGAATTCTGGCAGTGCGTTGTTTCAGTGGGTTTTTTTTTTTTGGGACACCCTGTACTGTATACTGTGAATTAATTAAAAGGTTTATGTTAGGAAAAGGAGGGGCACCATGCAATGGACTTTACGTCCAGTTTGTGCCTTGTCCGTTTGAGTACAGCTCTTAATTGTATGTTAGATAAATAATTGTTGAATTAATTTGTACTCAATAAAGTTTAACAAACAAAAAAAAAAAAAAATATCAGCAAATATAAAGTTATAATTGGCATCTACTACAGCCATTAAGACAATGCTGTAGTAACCCTTGTAATTGTAGAAAACAGATCCACTGTTGCGAGGATGTAGAATGCGAACATGCTTTCCATCAGCCGCACCAATACAATGTGGAAGTTGCCATACATCTTCAAATCCAGCAGCTATTGCTAACCATTCTTCTTCATTCTCAGGGAAGTGTAAAAATTCATCTTTCATGACATCAAATACAGCCTGGCATACTTCTGGCACAATGAGGGCGAAAGATGATACTGAAATTCTGAATTGGTAATGCAAGCTGGAATAGGACTCTCCTGTAGCCAAGAATCGTAAAGACAATGCCAGTCTTTCCCCAGCTGGTATTGCTTCCCTCATATTGGTGTCCTTCCTGGTCAATTTCATCTCCACTTTCTCCAGCAAGCACTATTTGAAAATGTTTAAAAGCAATGTTTATAATGAGTGAAAGTTTGGGGAGGGGGTTATTATAACAACAAGATATTTACAACACTGAAAAAATACAAAAATACATTCACGAACACAGTAAACCTATAAATATACGAAAGAAAATATTTTATTATTGACGCGTAGACAGTCACAGCTCAAAACAAATATAAAATAAAATTCAAATTCTGGACAAAAATGTGTCTTTACCACGACTAAATTCGACTAAATAGTGTTTTTAACAACAGTGGAAGATTCTACACGGTTTAGCGAAATTCTAAAATAATTTATAATGGTGTATAATTATAGCAAGGGCACGAAAGCGTGAGCATTGACATTGCGCTGTTTACCGACGTTTGCATTGTTTTGCATTATCAAAATGTCCAGCACATTTAGCTCATAATTTCTTGTGCAATTTGCACTTGAACAAGTAAATTCGTCAACGAAAACTTAGTCGTATGTACATGGCTTCATAAATCTATATAAACAGCAAACACATACCTCAAATTTTGACGTATCCATTCTCAAGTATCGACGATAATGTTCTGGGTCTTCGAGTCGTAGTTCCTCCATTAACTGACGAAAAACACCACGTTCGTTCCTCTTTAACCATTCTCTGGTCCACAATGATCTTCTCCGCCTTTTCCTCCTTCGTTTTATGATAAGCGCAATACTTATAAGTGAAGCAATCTTACTAGCCTCCATTGCTTTTACGTTGGTTGATATTTCCAGTTTGTTCTGAAAAATTTCCAGTTTGTTTTGAAAAGATCTCGCACCAGGCCTAATAAAGCCTAATATATCTTTCGGTTGGAAAAATCGCATGCAATAATCATACCTAAATCGTAACGTCTAGATAGACGGCGCAAAGTCGCAGGGATGGCGTCAGCAAGTTGCATACAACAAGCGTAAGCACAAATCGCATCGTGTAGATGGGCCTTTATTGGCTTTTTGTTTGGTTGGAAACACCACGCGAAACTTGCAAGGGACTGTGTTTCTGAGTGGGGTAATCTCCCGAGTGGCGTCCCACAGGGCACAATGTTGGGACCTTGGTTGTTTATTCTCACGTGATAAACGATTTGAAGCGTTTGGACATCACCCACTGGGAATACATTGATGATACAACAGTCTCGGAAACTATCCTAAGAAAGGGAACCAATATATAGGCGAAAACGTTTATGGTAAGGATATCTGGACTCGTCGTCATTTTAACGCTGCACAAGCTGCGCCATTTTAACAACGCTGATTTCAGCAGTGATAGCAGTTTCACAGGCCATTATTAATGGCTCATCCAATCGTTCGCTACTCATTGTTGATCTGCAGAGTGTTTTAACAAGTTTTAGCTTGCTAAATGTTCTTTCATCCTTAGCTACGGTCACTGGTGCAGAATAAGAGCTAGGCGGTAAGCTTTTTGGCCAGAGGAAACACTGACTTCTGTTTTTCTGCTATTCTGGCCGCGTCTGAAATATCCTTAACCTTAGTATGGTTGTAAACAATCAGGTGAGACCTGAATATATCTCAGACATTAGAGCTTCCGGGTCTGGTCTTTGGTCTCGTGGGAATTACTCCGTCAAGTCCTTGAACGATTCCAATGGCGAAACGTATTTCCCAGGATGGAGGGTATCAATCAGGGGTTTGTTTGTTTTTTTATTTGGAATTGTTGTTGAGCTCTCCATTAGTGCTGATCTGAGTGTCCAACACTGATTTGAAGAAAAAGACACCAAGTTAAGCGACACAGCATTTGACGAGTTCTCATCCATTCTGTCAGGTGGTTTTTTGTGGCGATGATGACTTTGGAAATCACTCTGAACGTCATCACCAAGGCGCTCAGCAAATACAACTGCTGCTTGGATTTCTGCACTCAAAAACGAAGATAAAAACATAAACAAAATACAAAGATATTGAAAATTCCGAAAAGCAAAGTTCAGTGAATTCAGATCTTGTGTGTTTAATATAACTCATTCTCATTGAATATCTCGTCGACTCCAGTTCGTAGAATAACTGTTAAATATTCATGTTCACATACCGTAAAAACAATCGCTTTCAAAAGAAATCCGTCGGACAGAACATGAATATATGAATACACCCCCCACCCCCAATCAGCGGTGTAGCAACGGCCCTGTCTGTAGTAATTGTAAATAATAATCATGTGAGAGTAGAACTTTACTGGTAGTCTAATAATTGTTATATAGATCATAGTCTGGCCATGTGTTTTCAATATTTAAACTACAAATTCAGCTAACTAAAATATAATCTTAGTACTGTGACAAATTTTAAAAAGGGTCGTCCCTTTTGATGGCATTTTTTCATATTACAAGGTACAGAGTCAGTAAAAACATTTTTTTAGGGGGCACAGTGATAAAAATCAAAATCTGGAAAAAATGTTTGGTTACTCATTAATTACACTAAATATCCAAAATGGCCGCCCACTAATTAGCCAAAAATGGCGTAACATGACACATGATAACACAGACACTTTTAATCAGAATGAAATAAATGACATTGACATATATTCTGAAAGCCTATAACATGATCTGGTGCCTGACCATCTTTATTTTCACTTTAAGGTATTTTTAGCAGAAATTTGGTAAAAAAATCTGCACATGAGGGAAAAAAGGAATTTTTTCATACCTAATTTATACATTTTTAATGAAATATATTTAAAATAAAAATGGTCAGGCTCTGCATAATGTTAATAGCCATAAACATGCCAAGTTTCAACTTTTTGCCGTTAATATTCAGAAAGATATGCTGTCACAAAAATCAAACGGAATGAAAAGACTGCCAAATTGCGAAAATAGTATTTTAGCGTTTCGTTGTTTTTTTATTGTGTCTAGTAGGCACCTGCCTTATAGCTAACACCTTCTTTCTATTCAATACTGTCAACATAGTGCTATCTTAGGTGCCTCAATATTTTCTTATCTTTTTCACTGTTTCAGTGCTCTTCTTTGCCGACAGTTCTATTCTCGAATTGGCGAGAATGTAATTTGTGATTCATCATATACTATTGGCACGTCCAGCATGGTTGATCTTATAGTGGCGACTAGCCTTCCTCTATTGATATTTTTGGTCGATTTTTGTTTCTATATCGGTAATTTATCTGAGAGTATTTCAACATTCAGGTATTGCTTGGTATCTAACGAGATGCATGAGAGAAACAACACCATTGTGCGACACATGGTCTCGTCTTTGCCAATTTCCATCAAGGGAAAATCCACATTAGCCTTTGTCATTTCTACAAGCCTCTTTAACAATCATGGCATTGTTTAGCATGCTGTCATTTGCTAACTGTTTCATATCAGGCAGCAGCTTCTTGTTTAGCATTTTTGTAAAGTTCCGAAGGGTTTGCGGTGATGACGTAATGGCATGTTCATGACTTTGGTGAATATTACCATAGTATTAACGCCTAGCCTCGACCAATTTCTCTGAATGCCAGGAAGCCAACGACTGCTTTCACATTAACTTCATATGATGGCCCTTGTTTTTGTGAAATATATAAACAGTATTTCCACTCGCACTCCATGCTATGATATCACATTGCAGGACAATGAAATGGGAGAAGCTATTATTCTTTTTCATGTCAACATGGAAAGTGATCAGCCATGTTGTTCCCGTATTCAAGGCATTTCAGAACTTGATTAAAAACGCCAAACAGAACTAACAAGTCCATAAATATAGTACCCTCTTTAACAAAGTCAGTATCACCAAGATTCTAGCAAAACTTTACACATGCATCATCTATTTTCATCTTAGAAAGCCCAGAGATTTGATCACATACTTCGCCGCCATCTTGAATTTCGTGGCCTTCTTTGATGGTCAATTTCTTGCCTTTTTTTCTCTTTCTATTTCGATTATTTTCCATACTTTTATCGAAAATCCCAAACAAAATGACAAACTGATAATAATATTCAACAAAGAACAGTAATTTTCGACTAAGTTGGTTTGGTCAGAGACTTGCGAATGACCGCGAAGTTGCTATAAAAAAGGGGTTGCCATCAGAGGCGGCGCTAACCCTCTTCGAGTTGGGGGAGGGGGGGGTGAGTGATCTTTTGCGACTGTTGTTTGGTAATTGTGCCGAGTAATTAGCATATAGTAAATGTTCATGTTTAAATGCACTTTATTACCCTCTATTAGGCCGGTTTTCCACTAGAGAATTTTTCGGCGCGAAGCGACATTTTTCCTTTGTTGGCATCCATTTTGCAGCCGTCGAAAACCGACAAAGTTGAGGTCGGCAAAAAAGGGCCGACGTAAATCTGATCTAGGTATTGGTATTGTCTCGGCATTTCGTAAAATCTGTTTCACGTCTTGGAGCAGTATTAATCACGCATTAACAAATCATTGAAATCAGAATATAACTGGAAGTTACCTCCTGCCGGAATATTCGAAAGTTGAAGCCAAATTTTAACACCAGACGTGCTCAGGTATGTTAATGACTGGGTCAAGTTTCACAGTGAGCATTAATTCATGAAAAATAAAAGAAAAATTATTTACAACGATTTTAAGATAAATTGACAGGGTTTTGGGCGTTAATGCTACTCAATATAATTTTAGAATTTTTTTAACCGACCTAATATTTTTAAAAACGTGTCACGTGACCAGTTGTTGGTCTAAAAATAGCAACAAAAACATGGAACTTTTTCAACCGCTTTGCAGGGAATGATTGAGCGGGTTCTCACTGAAACATTCAATTACAAATAGATTGCCAAGGAACTCTTCTAACACATTCAAACTTGTATACGTGATAATGATGTGTTATTGTTGCGTAAAATGGATCCAAAGTCAAAACACGCGTTTCTACTCGCATATTTTCGATAATTAAAGCTACTTCTAGTCAAAATCTTTTCAGTTTACGGTATTTCTCAAGAACTTGGACATATTTTGAAGATAATTAGCGCCTAAGCCTTTAATGGTTGATAATAAAAACCTTCCCTGCAAAGCCATTGAAGTTTAACATTCGGCCGAGTAAATAAATTGTAAAAAACGCCATTTTTGTCGAGTGAGCCCTAATTCTACACACAGCGGCGTCCCGCATAGCCATGGCAACAAAGAACGCTCAAAATGGCGATCATAATAACTCGAAGAGCATAAAGACATGTTTCCAGATATATTTTGATTTGCGCAAGGTTAAAACCGGCAATTGTAATCCACAAAAATACACACATACCATTGTTTTTATATACAAGTGAATGTCGAACGCACAGAACCATTTGTGATTAAATTATCTACACAACTTCGCATTTTAATAATACCGCAACATGCTTTGATTTATATAATGCTACAAATCTAAAAGGATACTAGCCTACTAAGCATTAATTTTGGAGACAATATTGCACAGGATAAATCTTGAATGCTATAATGAAACAAGAGCCTTATTTATCAGTAATTTAAGATTATAATCTGTCAAAATTGGACGCGCTCAAAATATTGTAGCTAATGTAAGTAAACAGCCTGTACATACAGTACAGATAAAGTGTACACGCCGGAGAATACCAGACTGGCGCACAAACGGTGTATGATGAAATTAACTGAGTAATCCAGCGAGTTTTTAATGTACCCCCTGAGAAGAACCTGACCACTTTTCCCACATTGAATATCCAAGTGAAGAAGAGTTGTGCTGAGAAAAAAAAAGAAAGAAGAAATTATTTACAAAAGACAAAAGCTTGTTTGGAGGAGCACTGGAAGAGTACATCAGTTACAAGGTGAATAGGCTGAATACAGTATGTATGTGATGCAGTATATTAATTAGCTTCTAAGTTCTGACGCAATCAAATTTGTTGCAAAATACATTTAACCGACAAAAATTATAATTCTATTTGTGGTTAATGTGTTAGTACATTTTACAGTATTATTAGCTCATTGTTTTTTTTTGTTTTTTTTTGTTTTTTTTTGTTTTTTTTTAAATGGTTTATTCACATATCTTGGCATTAATACAATGAATTATGATATGATGTGTGTACATAAATTCAATAAATTATCTAAAATATTAAAATCTATATATAATATATAACTAAAATATATATAATATACAACTAATTAAACTACCATTGGAGTTTGTTCCTTAACTCAAAGCACATTGCTGGAATAAAACTATTTTTGTATCTATTAGTTCGACACTTTGGCAGAGACAAACAGTCCTTATTACGCAAAGTCCGTCCGTGCGCGGCAACCCTCATGCTGAGTCAAGGGCTTTTGTCAAACTTGCTATTACCTTATAGTTACCTCCCAAAGCTCCTGGCCATGGAAGCCCACTTTGAGTACATTACAGTATATGCAATTTAATGCAACGACAAAAATAATCATGTTTAAGCAGGAATAACAAACTAAAATAATATACTTCTATATTCCTAGCAGCAACACAGCAATCATGACACGAAGCAGGCATGAAGAATGAGAAGTCCTGTTGGAACTTGGAAACTTAGAAAACAAGAATTTTGATAAGGAGAAAATGAGAGAAGTGGAAAATCATCCAGATAATATGGTTCTAAATTCGTCAACTTTAGAACGAAAGCATAACATCAAGAACACTCAGGATGAAATAGCAAAGACTGTGTGGGGGTCAAATTGCAAAAGAATGGTTAAAATCTGTTGGTGTTGACATCAGTTGATTCAAGCGCTAACATGATGGGAATGATGAGAGAGTGTGAAGATTGAAACTCAGGGGACATGGTGGAGAAATTACTGTTGTAGTGCCACAAACGATGGAAAGTGTGGACCGATGACAATCTGACGGAGAATAGTCTGACAAAATCATTGAAAGCTATCAATGAACACGTAGAAGGAGAAAATGAGAAAGAAATGTGAGCTAGGCTGAGAGATATTGCAAGAACATGTACAAGGCATCTGAAGATGCCACATGATCTTTCAACAATTGTCAATCAATTGAGCTGTGTTTACACTACAAGCCTACCCTTGGACTATATTTTTGTAGTGTAAATGCACTTCGGCCTGGCCTAGGCCAGGAAATTTGGAACACCTGTTCTGATGGGCCCAGATATCCTGGCCTAAGCCAGACCAAAGTGTGTTTACACTACAAAAATCTAGTCCAAAGCTAGGCCTTGGCCAGGCTTGTGGCGTAAACATGGCTATGCATGGTCACCTAGTTTTCATAGTGTCATACAGTTATGACCCTGCAGCTGTGCATTACACAACAGAAGAATATCAAAACCTGGCCCTGACTGTAAATAAGACATATTATAGAAAAGGTCAGCCTAACCTGACCACCACAATTGCAATTACACTGACGAAGAACTACTAGGAAACATTCCCAAGTGGTCTTCGATGACTACAATTAACACTTCGGCAATTTCCACGTAAAATACCAGATAAAAAACTAGAACAGTTTGCCTGTATTTTCGCATTATAAACGGGGAAGTGGATAACTGCTTTTATATATCTTGAAACATTGTATGTATAAAAAATATTAGCACTGTAAATGGACTCACCTTAGCTTTAACCGTGTAAATACCATAAGGAATACATATAGAGTACATAATAAATTATTACATTTATCCATACGTATATTTAAACACATTTTACAACGACAAAAACCTCTTTGCATGAACGAATCCCTTTAAAAATATGAATTATGCAGAAATGCACTGTACGGTTGCTAAGGTAACCATATTCCTTATATAGGCAACACTTCCATATAGGGAAAACCAATGATGTAGAAATATTAGGCGCCAATATTTGCAGTTCGCGCGAAGGATCGATCTGTAGCATTCTCGAAAACGTCGAGCGTATATTCGAATATTTTGGTAAATTTCAGCATGCGACATACAATCGAGGAGAAAAGAAAGATGCGCAATGGCAGTAAGAAGAGAAAGCAACATCAGAATTCGCAGTTGAAGCGCGCGGCGCTCATAGTATTAAGAATTAGAAGATGCACTTCGTGATGTCAAAGCAAAAGCTGAGTCAAGCTGGCTGGGCTGGCCAGCACGGGAGCATTGCTTCTAAATATTACAAATTTGGGGAAGAAGTGTTGACGTCAACGAAAAATTACAAACTGGACAACAGGGCAAGCACTAATAAGGTATACTCAATTTTTAATACAAATACATTTCATCAATCCTTTTATTAATGCACCTATTGATGTTAAGCCCCTGGGTGGGAGGGTCGGGCATTTGATTTTTCATGCAATTTTTTGGTCAAATTCTCTAGCATGGGGAAGCAAATATCAGTCAAATGTGATCAAATTCCCCATTGTTGGGCACATAAATTTGTGGTGAAAGGCTTGAAAGTCGTTTGTCCCAGTCCTCAACATGTGCTCTTCCTCAGGATACAAGATGGTGCTCAATTCCTCGGGAGATGGTGTCGATCAAATTCCAGAGGGTGGGGAAACACAAATCCATCAAATGCCCTACATATCATATGCATTTAAATGTGCATAAATATATGCATTTAAATGCGCATAAATATAACTACAGTATATAAATACTGTAAACCTCTGACAATAAGCCCCCCTGAATACCCGCATCTACAAACCCATCACATTACTATTAACATTCACACCATTCCAAATACATGCCCCCCCCCACATTTGTTTATCACTATTACTATACTTGTTTATCACTATTATACACAAACACAAAAATCACTATTACACTAACACAAAATGTTGTCCATGTATAAGCCCCCCCTCCCCTTTATATAAGCTCCCCTTTATATAAGCCCATCAAAAAACATGTACAAACGAATATAAGCCCAGGGCTTATATTCAGAGGTTTACAGTATGTCCATATCCATATGTCATTACCTATATTTATACAGCTAATTCAGAAAAGGTTGTCCTTTGCAAACCTTAAACTTGAAACCTTAAACTCTAAACGTGCAATGCATAATGGGAGGCCGAGCATCATTTAATCTGTTTATAAATCATAGATGGAGCCCATTTCTTAGAGACATGGTGAGCATCTCCTTACGAGAACAATTCATTCACAAGTAGCTGCAATATTCAACTACTAAGCTTGAAAGTTGCAACTTGTACTCCCATTAAGGTTTGCGCACTTATAGTTTAAGGTTTGGAAAGGACACCTTTTTTGAATTGGCTATATATATATATATATATTCATTACCTTTGCCTGGAAGCCTCATTCTTACGATTCAAGATGAAAGGCAATTTCACCAATTTGCTTACGATTTTTGAGAATGAGACTTCCTGCCAAGAAGAGAATCATGACATACTGTAAACTATATCAAAGGGTTTGTTGGTCACACTATTAGCTAAGATAAGAATTAAGGAACTAAAATATAAATATAAATATAAAGCTATAAAAAATCCATCAACCCAACCAAATTCAATACCCCTTGATTACAAAACCTGGTATGGCCATACAAATCACTAATAAATAGTTGTTAAATTTCAAATTAAAGGTAACTCAGTTGAACATGTCCAGCTGAAGTACTTGTACAGTGGGTATTACAACTATTCAACATGAAGAATTGGAGGAAATTAGCAATGAATCAATAGGGAATGGAGTTTTTGGCAATTGCTTCCATAAGAAATTCATTAGATTAGGAATAACAGTTGTTGAAAAGCAGTTGACTGACAGCACTGCTGATATGCTATGTAAAGAAGCAATATTTTTTGCCAAAATTGTCACACATATGTATCCCATTGTTACTTGGGGTGCAGCTAGACAAAAAGCCAATCTCCCTGATAATGCAATTTATTGGGGAGAACAGTCATCTATAACAGTGTTCAAGTTGCTATTTGATCCATTGTACCAACATCAAGCTTCAGAAATGCCAACCACAACACGGCTCTGCATATGTTATGACATCACTGATGCACTTGACCACATGCACCAAAGAGGGTATCTCCACTGTGGCTTGAAGTCCAATAATGTGTTGGTCGCACAAAATAAGGGATACTTAATTGACTTCGGGAAAGTTTGTGACATCTCTTGACCAATGGCGATGGAATACAGGAAAGTGTACAAACACATTGCACCAGAAGTCCTGAAGGGATCTTGTGTTACAACTGCCAGTGATATGTATATTCACTCGGGAGATTCCGTAAGGTAATTGGGCAGCACAATCCTATTACAACTAGCAAATGCAGCTACTGATATTAACTCCACAAAAAAGCCCACTCTTTTGAAAATATTGACCATGTTGAATGCAGAGAATATCCACAGCTGAGATGCATTAAAGAGGCTCTACAAAATGAAGTATAAATCAAAAGCTAAGTTGGATAAAGTAAACAAGATTGATAACCAGGATAATATTTAACTCATTAGGTTTCAATGTGCTCTACTTTGTTATTTTACTCTGTCTAATGCTAGATGATTTTAGTGTTCAAAGGGAAAGTGTGGGGCATTAATGGCGTAACTTGGCAACTGGTTGTGGCAAGGAATTAATGAGTAACTTATTTAAATAATATGAACAACTTAATAAAATCTAATAACTTGTATAAATTATGTGAAACACAGTCCTAGCGAAAACTCTTGTGCTGTCAAGATGAATCGTCTTTCGGCAGCAGGTTGTCAAGATATTGTGTCTTTCGGCAACCAGTTGGATCTTGACTGTGTTTTTATTGGTCCGGTATTTTCTAAATATATAAGGTAGCTAACATACAAGGAATTAATAATACCTTGTTTAAATAATATAAATATAAATAACTTAATAAAATCTAATAGCTTGTATAAACTATGTGAAACACAGCCATAGTGGAAACTCTTGTGCTGTCAAGATTAATCGTCTTTCGGCAGCAGGTTGTCAAGATATTGTGTCTTTCGGCAACCAGTTGAGTCTTAAACTGTGTTTTTATTGGGTATTTTCTAAAGATATACTATAGCTAACATGCAAGGAATTAATGAGTATTGAGTACACCTTGTTTAAATAATATAAATAACTTAATAAAATCTAATAGCTTGTATAAACTATGTGAAACACAGCCATAGTGAAAACTCTTGTGCTGCCAAGATGAATCGTCTTTCGGCAGTAGGTTGTCAAGATATTGTGTCTTTCAGCAGCCAGTTCGATTTTCACTTTGTTTTAACTAACATAGAGTTATATTAATAAAATATTAATAAATTTACTATTATTAAAATGCAGTAGAATCACATAGCATTAAAATTGAATACAACACTATTAACATTATCAAATCAATAATAATACAGTATATAAATTTATCAAAAGTTGACTGCACAGGGCAAAAATTAATATCATGAATGGCCCAGCTAGGTGGCAAAGCTACTTTAACCCATTAAGCTGCAGAGCTTCCCGATTGACAAGTAAAATTGTCATGCGTTAGACAAGTAAAAAAAATAAGTAGAGCACAGAGGGGCGCATTGCGGCTCAATGGATTAACTAGTTCTAGAAGCAGAACTGAAGTACGGTAATATACATTGTCCGAATTTTTGGTTAACCCATTAAGCTGGGCGCACTGGAGCACATTGCGGCTCAATGGGTTAAATATGGATATACACAGTATATATTGAATAGCTATCCAGATCTAATGGAACATGAAATAGGTTTGAATAGTACTGAAATGTAAGTTGGCTCTCGCCATTCTTAGGACCTTGAAGTCCTACATATTTTAATAAAGAGCACCACAATGAGTGAATACACCATAAGATGTAAATATTTGTATCATATGAAATTGATTCTTCAATTAAATGTATTAAAACAAGTGGAGACAAGGCCGTAACAAGCGTTCTTGTCTCCACAGTCTTGTGTTTGGTTCTTGGTAAAAATTATAGAATGTTTTGCAATGAATTTTAGAACCTAGCTTGCTGCCACTATTAAATTTGTATGTTTATATGGAATGTATCAGGACATCTGGTTGGCTGACATTAAAGTGCAACTCTCAGAAGGTAAGATATATGATTTACTCCCAGAATTTTGTGAGTAAATCTGTTTACTAGCGACCAGGGAATATGGGCTATGGCCATTGTTAGAATTAGTATAAACACAAGCTAGAATCCTTCCTAATACTGGCTTTCAATGACAGTATTATAGAATTTTATATAATGCCTATAAAATATAATATAAAACAAAGCTCAACTACAAAGCCTTACAGGTTACACTAGGAAAACAGTACCAATAAATAGAGTACAAACCTTTAAACAAACTATAACCACGATCGGTATTAATACAGAAACAGTTTCTTGCCAAAATCTTTGATCTATCATGTATAAAATAAACACAACTCTCATCGACGCCATGTTCGAAAAAAAAAGACGGAAATTGTACGCTTAAATTCGCTACTTTCCCAAAAGGCACTGGAAACTAATAATTTTTTGACCCAGTCATTAACTCACCTGAGCGTGAAATTTGATCTCTAGACACGTAACGTATGTCCACAATACCGGTCAATTTTTTAACCTTACCCCGTAGTGTGTTCAGCTAATCGAACTACGAATCGAATTCTATAATCGCTGAATTTTTTAACAGCTAGCAGCACCAAAATATTATTACTTTGGTTGAATTAAGGTCGGCAAAAATTTGCGGATCTTGGAGGTTGATAGGCCGGCATTTAGGTCGGCATTGCCGAATGCCGGTCTCGGTTTCGAGGACTAATTGGGCCACGACTTGCTGACGTAATAAGTGATACCGACAAAGGAAAAAGATCGCTTCGTGCGAGAAAATTCGCTAGTGGAAAACCGACTTTATTGCCTCTTTTAAAGAACAGTATAATAAGCAACAACAACAACAGCAGCTGCAGCAGCATCAGCAGTAGCAACAACAACAACAGCAACAACAACAACAACAACAACAACAACAACAACAACAACAACAACAACAACAACAACAACAACAACAACAACAACAACAACAACAACAACAACAACCACAACAACAACAACAACAACAACAACAACAACAACAACAACAACAACAACAACAAGAACAAGAACAAGAACAAGAACAATAACAACAACAATAACAACAAGAACAAGAACAAGAACAAGAACAATAACAATAACAATAACAACAATAACAACAACAATAACAACAATAACAACAACAATAACAACAATAACAATAACAACAACAACAACAACAACAACAACAACAACAACAACAACAACAACAACAACAACAACAACAACAACAACAACAACAACAACAACAACAACAACAACAACAACAACAACAACAACAACAAATTTAATTACCTAATTATAATTTCAATAATATTATATTTTTGGACTGAAAGAAATTAAGATACTGTATTCGAAAGAATTTGCATTGCTGCATGTGTGGTTTCTTTGATGAATGCTATTCTAGCCTGCGAACAGCTATTCGTGATGTTCGGTTTGAATGCAATTATTCAGGAAGTCAATTTTGGTTTCTTCAATCCGGTTTTGCCGACTGAGATGACAAGTTGCCGATTTGCTGACGAGTGGAGGGTCTTCCACCCCCCCCCCACACACACACACCTGTAATAACGCCCCTGGTTGCCATGTACATGCAAATCAAATTACAGCTATCACCAATCAAATAAGATACACCAATCAAATTACAGCTATCAAAAAGGACCTTAAAAAACATACATCAAAAGTAGAAACTAAAGAAGACTCGGTTTTTTTAATAATTCATGTCAATTTTGGATAAATCTGCGTTGCTAAGGTGTTGCTAGAGAGAAAATTATGTATTATGACCACTTTAAAAGCATTTTTCGCATTTAAAAAATAAATATTTCATAAAAGTAACTATTAATTCGGAAAGTACAATATTTAAATATCTAAAACACACTAAACCAAAATTTGGAAAAAAAATTGTAAAATGACGTAATGAAGGAGAATGACCACCTTTTAAATTAATTAAATTAAAAGGGCAACCGCGTTGGCCATTGCCGCTATTGCGATATTAGCATGAGTAATCTATAAACTCATAATGGAAATCAGGGGCCATATTTTCAAAGCTGGATTAACGCCAACGCTTTGTTTTTAATTCAACTCGCTTTTTTAATTTGGGTTCTACATTTGCACATCTGTTTATTTCGAAACTTTGGAAAATAGAACTTCTATTGATAAAGAGATGAATTTTTGGAAAATTATCTTCATGTTTCTAAACAGATTGTTGGAAAGTTTGCTTTGTAATTTGTGTTAACCTAGGATTACGCTAACCTGCGTCTGAACAACCGGTCCCAGCTCCCAAATAATTTGTAACAAAATACTTCTAGACATTTTCAAATTCATACCGTTACTTGATGGAAATGATCACTAATAGTTCGTGCGAGGTTGCCTTCATTGATATGATGCGACATAAAGGGGATTGATGTATATTCGACGTAATATATAAACGTAATATAATTAATTAATAAAATTTAAGAGATTAATTTAAATTAATATAATTTAAGAGAAAGATTACAACAAAAAATACAAAAAATATAAATAATTCTCGGCAATTCAAGTTCAATTTGTGAACCCGTCGGCCCCTTGTCTTTATTTCCACAACGCCCACTCGCAGGCTAATTAAGTATCTTGGAGTATTTGTCTGACACGTGACTAGCGTTTACCAGGGCTACGTTGCTGCCTGCAACTCCCAGCTATCCCTGGCTACGAGGTTGTCTCCAGGACATTTCTGTGATTTTTCTTCTAATGTACAATGTCCCAGGCGTGAGTTCCGGGGGGGGGGGGGAAAGGGACGGAATGGGCTGCAATGCTGCATTTGACTCAAGCATATTAGCCATAGAATTGACAATGAATAGTGTGATATATTGCGCATGCGCTTTGGGGGTTAAAGGAACATGTGCGAGAGCGATAAAGCAAAGGTTGTTATTCAGTTTTCTAAGGACATTAAAAGTTGAGTTTGAGTTGTATAACAGTGCATTTCTGAGGATATAACAATTGGCGACGAGCATGGGATTTCAATAAAGGATTCTGGTATATTTTCATGCTGAACGAACGAGTTTAAAACAGTAATTTAGTGGAATTTAGTTCTGTACGAGTACAATTTAATAGAATACCATGTCTTCGACGCCATTATTCGGCGTTCTGGGGGAATTTGGATCGTCTACCGTGTTGTTTACTGCATATTCGGAGAGATTAAAGCAATATTTTATCGCTAATTCTATCCGGCCATGTCCTGCTGATGCTACACAAGAATTACTTGCGGCTGCAGACAAGAAAAAAGTCGCGGTATTTATTTCAGTTATTGGAAAGAAATCTTACGCAACCCTTCGTGATTTGTGCGGTCCTGATTCACCGAAAGATAAAAGTTTTTCTGAGCTTTGTGAAATGTTACGTACTCATTACAAACCGAAACGTTTGGTTGTAGCTGAAACTTATAGATTTCATCGGTGTATTCAAGAAGAAAATGAAAATGTTTCTGATTACAGTGCACGTTTGCGACATTATGCTTCCACTTGTGACTTTGGTCAGTTCTTAAACCGTTCTCTGCGTGATCAATTTATATGCGAAATTCGTAATTCAGCAACTCGGAAAAAGTTACTAAATGAAGACCGTACTTTTCAAGATGTGTTAAAAATGGCCATAGCTGATGAAGTTGCTAGTAAGGAGACTTTAGGATTTCAAAACAATACGAAACCAGTGAACGAATCTGTGCATACTGTGGGTAGAAATCAAATTCCTGATAAGTTTTCAAATAGCAGGAATACATCAAATTCCAATAACCTAAGACCACCATTGCCTACCGCCCAGAAATTTTCATATTCCTGGTATTCCTGTGGAGGTACTGGACATTCTCGGGCCCAGTGTAGATTTAGAAATGTTGTATGCAGCCGATGTAAGAGGACTGGTCACGTTGCTCGTGTTTGCAAGAGAGGTAACATGCAAAATAACTTTGTCGAACAGAAACTGAGTTCAGATGATGTGTTTCTTGAGGAAGAATTATTTACGGTTTTTGATGTTAACTCCCTATACAAATCAGAAATTTCCGTACCCTTGAAAATTGAGAATCAAGAGTGTTCCTTACAATTAGATACTGGTTGTGCATTGTCCTTGGCCCCCCAAACCTTCTATGAGCAATTTTGTTCCCATATCCCTTTAAAACCTACCGCAGTGAGATTATCTACCTATACCGGTGAAAAGATTCAACCTTTGGGACAAATCAATGTTAATGTTACTTATGCTGCAACTCAGCACTCTCTTCCATTACTGGTAGTACCACAGGGCTCTGGTGTCTTATTTGGAAGAAACTGGCTAAGGTGTATAAAGCTAGATTGGAACAATTTGCCTGGAATTGAGTTACCGTCATTTACAACCACAGCTACATGCTCCAAGATTTCTGAAAATAAGAATACATTGGACTGACTCCTATCAAAATATGATGAACTGTTTCAACCTCAACTTGGGTGTTACACTGGTGATGCTGTAGTTCTCAATGAAAGTAAGGGAGCTAAATTCCATAAAGCACGTCCAGTTCCGTATGCAATACAGACAAGAGTTGAAAGTGCTCTACTAAAAATGGAAAAAGATGGTGTCATTGAGAGGATTTCTTCTGCTGTTACTGCTGCCCCTATTGTTACGGTGGGGAAAAAGGACGGTGATGAAGTTCGAGTTTGTGGTGATTTCAGTGTTACTTATAATGCATGTGCTGAAGTTGAGACTTACCCAATGCCTAAAATAGAAGATATGCATTCTGCATTGAGGGTCTGTCAAGTATTCAGTGTATTAGACCTGAAGCAAGCTTATCATCAAAATCCCATTTCAACTGAGTCTCAAAAGTATCTTACTATCAACACCCATCTGGGTTTCTTTGCTTTTAAAAGATTGCCTAACGGGATTCATCCAGGTCCTGCTATATTTCAGAGAATTATGGATGGGTTATTAGCAGATATTCCGAAAGCTGTTAGCAGATTGGATGACATTCTTATTGCTGGAACTGATTATGAAGATCATCTGAATACTTTGTCCCAAGTGCTAGAAAGATTGCTTAAGTTTGGTTTCAAGTTAAACAAATCTAAGTGCAAATTTCTCCAGTCTTCTGTGGTGTACCTAGGTCATCTAATCGATAGTGCTGGCCTCCATCCAACTGAAGACAAACTGGCAGCTGTGCGTGATTCCCCCTCCCTCCAAAGGATGCTACGGCTCTTAATTCTTTCCTAGGACTTATGATGTTTTACTCACGATTTATGCCACACCATTCCACTGTATTAGCACCGCTGAATAATCTGCTTAAGAAGAATGTACCTTGGAAGTGGACTAAATCAGAAGACGCAGCTTTCAAAGCAGCTAAAAATCTTTTACTAAATTCGAGAACACTAGTACATTATAATGAATCATTGCCTCTTGTTCTATCATGTGATGCTTCTTCTTATGGTGCAGGAGCGGTATTGTCACATGTTATTAATGGGAAACACCAACTGATAGCATTGCATCATGTACATTAACTGCGGCCCAACGAAATGATTCACAGCTTGAGAAGGAAACTTTCAGTATAATATTTGGACTTAAACAATTTCATCAATATCTCTGTGATAATTCATTTATTATCCTAACTGATCATCGCCCACTCCTTACATTGTTGGGACCACATTATTCTGTTCCAGCCCACACGGCTTCACGACTACAAAGATGGGCACTTATCCTAGCCTCATACCATTACAAGATTGAGTACCGAAGTACACCTGCACATGCTGACGCTGACAGCATGTCCCGTCTACCTTTACCACAAACTTGGTGCCCTAAAAGTGAAAATGTAGAATGTTATTTCTTTGAAGCTGGTGTTGTTACTAATGTAACTGCTGAAATGATTAAGAAAAAGACACAAGTGGATCCTGTTCTTTCTTTAGTATACATACAAAGTGGTTGGCCCTCTGTAGTTGATGCTGATATGATTCCGTACAAAAACAGAAGTGATCAACTAACTATTCATCAAGGATGCATCCTTTGGGGAGCTCGGGTTGTTGTTCCTCCATCTCTTCGAAGTGCAATGCTAACCGAATTACATGACACCCATCCGGGCATGACATGAATGAAAGGGCTTGCGAGGTCTTATGTCTGGTGGCCAAAGATTGATTCTGACATTGAACAGACTGTGTCCACTTGCCCTGTTTGCCAGAAAATGCGATCAGAGCCAGCAAAAGCGCCAGTACTTCCCTGGACTTTTCCATCACAGCCTTGGTCTCGTATTCATATCGACTTTGCTGGGCCTATTGCTGGGAAAATGTATCTGGTGGTAGTTGACGCTTACAGTAAGTTTCCGGAAGTTGTTAAAATGACTACTACAACAGCTACGACCACTATAAATGCACTGCGAGATATCTTTAGCCGCCATGGTCTTCCGGAAATATTAGTTTCCGATAACGGATAACGCAATTCATTGCTGGCGAGTTTCAACAGTTCTGCCGTAACAACGGAATTATGCATCGAACTTCTGCAGCCTACAAACATTCAACGAACGGTCAAGCTGAACGAGTTGTTCAAATTTTGAAATCGGCTATTGAGCAAGCTCGAATTACTAAACAGGATGTGAACGCGGTTATTGCTAAGAGCTTACTAGTGTATCGTAATGCACCACATTCTACAACGGGTGCGGCACCTTCAGTTTTACTTATGGGCAGACGTCTGCGAACCCGACTTGATCTAGTCTTTCCTTCCGTTCAGGAACATGTGAAGCAAAAGCAATATAAAGTCCTTGAACGTTCTGCGAATTTAAACGTGTGATCCTTTGTTGAAGGGGAAAATCTCTAATTTTGTATTTCGAAATGCCACTTGATAGTTATAATTGTATACAAAAGGATATAAAAAGTAATGACCCTTTGAATTACCAATTAGTCATAACCTATTGTATTGATTTAACGTGGTTAATCTGTCCCATGGCTAAATAATCCTAATCTAATTTGATTTGAAAGGGTGTACTTACAGATTGTATAGCAATAACTATGATTCTGAAATGTCATCATCGATACAACTTATTGTTCTGATCATGTTCGCTAAAAGGTCGATTCCCGTGCGTCTGAGCGTTCTAGCGATGAGCGACATATTATAACTCTCTCGTCATTTACTTAACTTTTGATGCCAATTATCCAAGTAATTAAACTAACCTGATCGATAACCGGATCCAAAAATCCGAATTTTAGTTTGTGCGAATTGTAAATATATCTATATATATATAAAATTAACTTATACTTAAAATTAACTAAATTATTCCATGTTACAGATGGAACTTCGCTTTGAGAAAGTCAACTACAGCAAAATAAAATGTTCTGTAATTCTGGCAACGAAAATTTTTCTATCATTCATTATCTTGTTATATTTTGGTGGAAGTCTTGTTCTTGGGAACAAAGATATTCCATTTTGTCACAAGTTATGGAACGACCTTGGAAACAATTTGGCAGACAGGCGTGAACGATGTTTGGATGGAGATCAAGAAATTAACTCATCTCGTTGTCAATCAGAAAAAGAATATTTTGAAGAGAGGAGACTCAGACACAGACAAATGTGTCTTTATGAAGGTATGATTTAATATGTAGCAATTTTTTAATGAGCTTAAGTATGATATGAAGGATTCTCAAGGCTTACGTTTGCTTCAATAACTATTCACACAATGAATATTTTTTTGCACTGCAATCCATTTAATGAAATTAGTTTTCAACAAAAAATGTAGCAATCAGGGGGACTGCTCCTGATTTTTGAGCACTCTAAGGAGTTATTAATGGTGTCTCTTAGCGATCATGCAAAACTAATTTCCCTCCTGATTGTTTGAATCCATTCATCGATTTCCCTCCTGATTGTTTGGATCCATTCATGTCGTCGTGTTGTACCATACCTTGGCGATAGCAAGCTGAGGTGATATAAATACGAATGTATTGTATGATCCGTAATATGTTTATTGATAGAGGAAATACTTTGGTACAAGCTGGTCAGGTGTATTCCAAATTTTGAAAGAAAACAAAGTGTGGGGTGTTAAGTTTGTTTTACCGATGTATAGCTGATATCAATTCGATAAAGGTCAGAGAGAGTGTAATTTAAAAATATTTGATGGGTATTGTAGATGGAAATTGTCGAGGAGAAATTTATATACATTAATTAGATCTAACCAGTAACAGCTGCAAAAAATGCAAATTTACGTCCCTGGCGGGAATCGAACCTGCGGGCCTGCGATTCAGGTGCAGCGCTCTGACCAACTGACCTGCAGAGACTAGTTGTATATGTCGAGCTCTAATCAGAAGTTCAGGTATAGATGTACTGCCGTGTGTAGATCATGGGTAGATAACATGATTTTGTTGGCATCTCACTCGATTGAATAATATTCGATGGGTGTTGTGGATGCAACTTGTCGAGTGGAAATTTATATACATTAATTAGAGCTAACAAGGAGCAGCTGCGAAAAATGCAACTTTAGGTTCATGACAGGAATCAGTTCTGGCGATTACACTGCTGCGCTCTAACTAACTGAGCAACAGATGCTAGTTGTCGAGCTATAATCAAAAGTTCACTATTGTAAAATCTGCAGACATGCTTGTTTCGACGTTCTATCCCTCGTCAGTGGGGCTTGGTACACGTCTAGATACGTGCGACATTCATATTTTTATCACATGAGCTTGCTCTCACGAAGGCATGTGGTACAGCAGGATCCTGATGACATCGACACATCCAGACAAGCGCAAAGTGTAATGGGCCAGAATGCTCAAACGACTACAACGGAAGTGGGCTTTTCCATCTGGTTCAACCCAGTCGAATTGTAATCAAGAAAAGACTTTTCGACACCCCAGCTCTTCTAACTGAGCTACGCGGTCAGGACGGTTCGAGTAAGTGATATTTCGGAACAGTATCTAGTTCCTTCAATACCAATGTGTTCTAGTAATATGAATTTTTTCTGTGTTGGTGTTGTGTACTCAGGTGAATAATATGTTTGCGATTTTACTCTGAGTGCATATCCACACCGGGCGAGCTTGAAAAATATGCCCGGCCACGGACCTGGGACGGGTCGGGTCGAACGGGGCCACGGGACGGTTCGAACCGTCCTGACCGCGTAGCTCAGTTGGAAGAGCATGGGATTCGAACCTTCGACCTTTGGAATACTAGCCCAATGCTCTTCTAACTGAGCTACGCGGTCAGGACGGTTCGAGTAAGTGATATTTCGGAACAGTATCTAGTTCCTTCAATACCAATGTGTTCTAGTAATATGAATTTTTTTTGTGTTGGTGTTGTGTACTCAGGTGAATAATATGTTTGCGATTTTACTCTGAGTGCATATCCACACCGGGCGAGCTTGAAAAATATGCCCGGCCACGGGCCTGGGACGGGTCGGGTCGAACGGGGCCACGGGACGGTTCGAACCGTCCTGACCGCGTAGCTCAGTTGGAAGAGCATTGGGCTAGTATTCCAAAGGTCGTAGGTTCGAATCCCACCGTGGCCGTGCATATTTTTCAAACTCGCCCGGTGTGGATATGCACTCAGAGTAACATCGCATACATATTATTCACCTGAGTACACAACACCAACACAGAAAATATTCATATTACTAGAACACATTGGTATTGAAGGAACTAGATACTGTTCCGAAATATCACTTACTCGAACCGTCCTGAACGCGTAGCTCAGTTGGAAGGGCATTGGGCTAGTATTCCAAAGGTCGTAGGTTCGAATCCCACCGTGGCCGGGCATATTTTTCAAGCTCGCCCGGTGTGGATATGCACTCAGAGTAACATCGCAAACATATTATTCACCTGAGTACACAACACACCAACACAGAAAAAAATTCATATTACTAGAACACATTGGTATTGAAGGAACTAGATACTGTTCCGAAATATCACTTACTCGAACCGTCCTGACCGCATAGCTCAGTTGGAAGAGCATTGGGCTAGTATTCCAAAGGTCGCAGGTTCGAGTCGGGCCGTGGCCGGGCATGTTTTTCAAGCTCGCCCGGTGTGGATATGCACTCAGAGTAACATCGCAAACATATTATTCACCTGAGTACACAACACCAACACAGAAAAATTCATATTACTACAGCACATTGGTATTGAAGGAACTAGATACTGTTCCGAAATATCACTTACTCGAACGGTCCTGACCGCGTAGCTCAGCTGGAAGAGCATTGGGCTAGTATTCCAAAGGTCGTAGGTTCGAATCCCACTGTGGCCGGGCATATTTTTCAAGCTCGCCCGGTGTGGATATGCACTCAGAGTAACATCGCAAACATATTATTCACCTGAGTACACAACACCAGCACAAAAAATTCATATTAATAGAACACATTGGTATTGAAGGAATTAGATACTGTTCCGAAATATCACTTACT